AAACTGTAGCCACCCTGTTTGGTTTGGTGAACTAAAAGAGACTAAAAGATGTCTTTTAATCCCTTTTAGTCAGAGTGTTTGATCCAAAGTGACTAAAATGTGAGGTAGCTTGGGCTTTAATTTCATTTAGCAACCCCTTGGTGACTAATTAGCTAAATAACTATTTAGTCCCATTTAATCACAGTGTTTAGGTAAAAAGTGACTAGATATGACTAAAATTAGCCGGCTAAACTTTAGCAACTCAAACCAAATAGCTCCTAAGCTAGCTGCGTAGGCCCTGTTCGCTTCGCTGAAAAAATAAATCAAAATATTCTTCCAACTAATTTACTGTGAAAAAAAATACACTACTAAAATTAAACTGAAAAGTACGAATTATAACCAAGCGAAAGTCCATGCTGCCGTTCCGAGTCCGGCAGGTCGCGTCCAATCCCCACCCCGTTTGAATTGGTACGCCGTGCTCCCGCCCGCCAAACCCCGTGTGCGTGCGTGCCCAGTGCCCACCCACCCACGCTGGCCACGCACAGCAGCACTGGGCAATCTCCTGTTTAGAAAAAAAAAATCCAAGGATATTCTTGCCATCAACTCGAGCTACCATAGCACAGTAGTGGCCACTGTGGGAACTCGTGGACGTGCCCGTGCCCGTGCGTCATCCCGGCTGCACGCAGGGTGGAGCCTACAGCGCAGTCAGCGTACCAACAGACGTGACTAGACGGATTCATGTGCCGCAGCTGTGCGTCGTGACTCCATCCATGTCTCCGTTGGCCACGCACACAGGCCTGGTTGGGCTGGGCCGAACGAATTCAATCGCTTGGTGAGATGTCCATGCTCAGTCTGGGGCTGACTGTGCTGCGGCCGGCTCTCGTGACTCGTCAGTCATCAGCAATTCAGCAGAGAAAAATGAAAATTTGTTTGACGCATTAAGGATGAAGCTTAAAGTAATCAGTAGAGCGTCCCAGTTCATCATCACTAACCTTTTTCGGGCGGGGGGGGGGCGGGGCGGTATTCTCTGACACTTGTGGTGCAGGAGACGCGACCGCTGACAGCTCAAAACCCGAAAGCTGGTAGAACCAGGAGTCTCGACCTCCGGGATGGACCGCGGCCCACGCATGCCATGGCCCATGGGAGCTTCAAGTTGCCCACCGGTCAAGAACCGGGCGTGCGGTGCCAAAACGAGAGGGATTTCGATCGATTCCGTCCGACCACACACGGTGGCCTACCCGGTCTTATAAACTATGACGTAGTATACCCGGTCTTATAAACTATGACGTAGTATTTTTGTTTGTAACAAAATAGCATCAGCTAACTTATAAGCCTCTCCTAACTTATCCAAACGATCATAGCCGTGCCGGGTCTCTCGCTCCTGGTCAAAACCCTGGCCGGGTGAGACCAACCACAAAGCGATCCGGCCCTCACGACACGGTCCCCCCACGGCCCCACTGCACGTGTACTAACACGGTAGCACTCCAGTGATTAGCAAGCGAGATCAGATCATCAGAAGGCTATTTGCATGGAGGTTAGTTCTCGGTGGAGAGCCGCACGATCTGCTGCTGCACCGGTACTCCAAACTGCAAGCTAAGCTATGTATTGCTAGGCGAAAGAGCAGTAGTAGTAGTAGTATCATCCTTGCCGGTCTAGCGGCAGGGCTGGCTCTCCCTGCCTGTAGGGCCTGCCCTACAAGCAGCCGAGCACTGCGCGTACGCTACGTATAGGGCACTAATCCGTGATGAACAGCCTACGGCGCAGCGTGCAAGGGCCTTTTTGTCCCCGTGCACATAAATGAAGCCTGGACTTGGCTCTGCCGCTATACTTGGCCATCGGGCCGGCCCCGCGCGGCACGGCCCGGAGGATGTCGGGCCAGCACGGCACGCCGTGCCTCCCGTGCCGTGCCGCTGCGGGCCTCGTGCCTTGCCATCAGCCAAAGCACGGGTCTGTGGACCTAAATCCGTACCGTGCCGGCCTGCTAGGCACGGCCAAATCACCAGGCCATGCCAGCCCGAGGCCCGTCAGCAACGACGGCGGACGGCGGAGGAGGGACAAACAGAGTCCAGAGAAGACGACACTCAGTCAGCAACGACGACGGACGGCGGAGGAGGGACAAACAGAGACAACCAACTCACATAATCAACGAGATCTAGAGGGGAGATAGGGAGAGGGAGAAGGGAAAGGCAGGGACGGAGGGGAGGACGCCGGCGGGAGGCGGATCGTGGTCACCGGAGTCGGCGTCGGAGACGGCGAGGCGTCACTGGCCACTGCGTTTGAGAGCGGCGCGGCGGCTGGTGGTGGTGGGATGAGAATGGGGAATTGGCGATTAGGGTTAGGTTACGAGCGGGAGTGCGGGACTGGGGGGAGGCCGGGAGGGGGGGCATCGGCCGCCTTTTATAGGTGGGGTATGGAGTGGCGGCGTGGGGGGGACCGTTGGCGAGCTAGGCCGCCTCCCTCTTGGGCCGCTGCCGGGCCTCCTCCAAAACCCCTTGCCGGGCCATGCCAGCCAGCTCAGCAATCGCCGACCTGTGCACGGCCAAGCTGCGTCTTGAGCCGGCCGAGCCGAGCCCGTGGCTCGCGCGGGGGCCCATGCTCGTGTCGAGCCAAAAGGCGGTGCCGCGGGCCTCGGCCGCATGGCGGTATATCTGCCGCAGCCGCACGATCCATCAATCCATCCCCACCGTCCGAAGTAACCGCCAGCAGATCCGTATCCGACTATCCGCCCCCCAGCATGGCGGTAGCGCCGTTTGGTGCAACGGCTGCGCGGTGCGTGCAGTGGGCCCCCGTAGCCTTTGGTCCGCCAGCAACGGCGGCGACGGGGCTAGGGGATCGCTCCGCCGCCGCTGGCTCATCATCATCGCGGGCCGAGGCCGCCCGGACCTTCTGCCGGCTGCGCGCAGATGAGACGAGGCGAGGCCATTGAGCATGGTTGGCCTCTCTAGGAAAGCGTGGGCTGCTTATTATTGTCTCCATCCCACTTACAGTAGGAGTATATACCACTGCGTTCTCTGATGATGCTGCACGCTGTGTGGTGTGCTGCTGCTGGCGATGATGCCAGCGGCCTTTCGAGCCTCGGGGAGGACCGGCAACAGTAGCATATATAGCAGTAATAATAATAAGAATGGCCTTCTTTTCTTGTCACGACGACTCGTTACGGCCGCCAAAGACCTGATAACATCACCACGTCCATCAGACCATGCATACTACAGCCTGTTCGGCAGGCCGTACACGATCGTGGATTATTTACTGCTGGCTTGTTTGGTGTGAGAGAAAAATATTGTTCTAGCTTATAATCCACGATCGTATACAAGCAAGTGAACAGGCTGCTACTCCATGAGAGAGACAGCTAGCGTAGTAGCTGAGCCGACGCTGCTGCCAGGGCGTACTTCTACTGTTGTATATAGACGCATACGACACTGCCCCCCCCCCACCCCCCCCACGGTATATAGCTAGGAATAGGAGCCGAACATTTTAGTCCGCCAGGTTTTGGAATTTTTTTAACTTTTAATCCTTTTTTAATCAATATTTTAATGTTAATCCAAAAAAAAGTATTTGTAAAAGTGACCCATTTAGTCATTGTTGGCGCCGACAAGATTTTTCTCATATGTCGCGCCACATACTGTTGGCGCGACAATCCCAAATGCACGGTGGTGCCCGTGTTGACCGATCTTTGGCGTGGCGTGGCGAAGTGGTCCCGCCTGTCGCGCTGGCGTGAAAGAGCCGAAGATTAGGTTTTGGCCGGCCCAGCCTATTTCTCTCTCTCTCTCTCTCTCTCTCTCTCTCTCTCTCTCTCGCTCGCTCTCCCTCCTCCGCCCCCGACGCCGCTCACAGCCTTGCCCCGCCTTGCTTCGAAGCAGCAGCCACAGCCAGCCACCCCGGCCCCTCCCACTTCGGGTACCCTCTGTCTCCCTCTCCCTCTCCATCTCCCTCCGTTCCTGAGTCGCTTAGGGAAGAAGAGGGCGCGGCCTGGGCGGCGTCGCCTTCGGGACGCTGCCACCGCCACCTCCGGCCGTCCTCGCCGTCTCCGGTCGCCGCAGGAGAGTTGAGTGGCTGCTACTCCCTCTCTCTTCGTGCCGCAGGCGTACGGCACCAGGAGAGGCAGGCGGCTCGGCCATTGCCTAGTGGTCTGCCGATGGCGGCCCTCACCTTCGTGGTCCGTGGAGTCATGTAAACAGCCAGGTTGATCTTTCCCCCCTCGATTTTTTGATTTCTTGCCTCATTAGTTCCATGACTAGGGTTAGGAAATTAGGGATGGTGTGAATGTTTTTATCGTTGCTTGTTGGTATTTGATGCGTAGATTAGGTTTAGGATATACTTTGCCCGTGGATTGGACGTAAACTACATGTTGCATGGACGTAGGTAGTTGATGCATGATGGATTTAGATTGGTATGTTTGTTGGCTTTGGTGACATCACTGTGAAGTTTGAGTTATTGTAGTGTATTAGTGAATGGATATGATTTATTTCCGAAATGCGTAGTTCATGTGTTGTTGATATGTTGGTTCGTATTTTGTAGATGGATTGGTTAGTGCGAATGTTTCATGGTGGCAAAGTGAAAGGAAACGGGGAGTTCGAAAGCATGCACGAACATGTTGAGTTCTTTAGTGGACCTCCTACCTTTGATGTTTTGGTTAGCAAGTGCCGGGATAAATTTGGGTGGCCACTAAGTTTCAGAGGCAGATTTGACTATGGGAAGGAATGAGCACATTATGTGTTGATGTGTTTGTCAGGTGAGGATGAATGGAAGAACTACATAGAGGTTGTCAAGAGTAGCAGTGTTAGGTGCTTGGAAGTTGTTGTGGAGAAGGGGTCTAGCCAAATTGTGGTGGCTATGGATGATAATGTGGATGTGGAGCCTGTAGAGAACCTTACCCAAGACAAAGAGTTGCAAGCGGTTGTCGTTAGAGAAGTTGATAGGTCATGTGAGTCCGGTGCCTTGAATGATGATTTTGATGAAGAATCGTTTGATGAGGAAACAAACCGGTGGCCTATGTTCATGTAGTAACTTCACCGGTTCAGTCAACTCACCCATAACTCAGACGGCCCTCCATAAGCATTGCCACAGTAGTATCCGTATCCTAGCTCAGACAGAACAACTCCTTCGCGAGCCTTGATGCCACACTTGCACTTACGGTTCGGCATCTTTGTGCATGGCCATGGCTTAATGCCTGCTTGAAACTCCGCAAATTCATACTCAGAAGGCCAGTGCGATTTGGATCCATAGTTGTACTCCTCAAAGTCACAAGATGGGAACCCTCTCTGCAAAAAAACACATGTTCCAAGTGTAACATTGTATGTGCAAAACGCATACAAGCTTAGAGATAGATTGCTTTCATGAAAACTCACATAATCTCGCAATCCACAACAATAGAAGGCAGTGAATGCTCCACGCTGGCTAGGAGTAGTTAGTCGCGCCGACACTCCACAGTGGCATCTAGGAGGATTGGCTAGACGGCGCAAAGCAGCGTCAACCTTCTCCGCCTCTGTTATTTCTGGAGGGTTCGGTGGTGGTGGAACCCGACGAACAAATTCTAAATATGAAACACTCTTCCAGGGGTCATAAGAAAACAACATAATCAACGGATCGAACATTTCATCGCCATCGATCCACTGATAGAAGCTACATCCCTCTAGGTAGGCATCAAGTGTTGGGGGATGTCGCTTAAGTTGGCAACAATAGAAAGCACGCCCAACTGGCGCGGGATGCCTTGACCGCTTCACAAATACCGGTAACCCACAATAGCACGACGGTGTTGGCTCTACTGGTAGGAAAGGACCGATAGCACCATGGTCCTTCGGATGGTGCACGAATTGGTTGTCATATAAAACCGCCATTGAACCTATTACAAAGTAGTTCAAGAAAGCAAAGATATGAACCAATACTATTACACATTTGAACAACAATTTCCATCATAATCATCTCTATAATCATGTAAACCCATGAAGCCAAACCCTAAAATAAACTTATTGAATGTAAATGATGTCTATACATATATAGTCCAACTCATCTATACATCTAATCAACAAAAAAACTTCAAATCACACACTTTGAAGAAATTTTAGTATCAACAGTGCAACCCATACTGCTGTCTAAACTAGTGCACTCAAACCCTAATGCACTGGCAACCAAAACCAATCACAAAAATCATAAAAGTTCAACAAGTACAATATGAACCATAATATATTAGACGTGATTAGCCAAAGCAACTTTCATTCAACCAAACGAAAGCCAGTATTACACATAGCAGTATAAACTAGAGCAGTATATAAACATCAACTAAACAGAAAAAAAAAAGAGGTGAGGGAGTCATACCACATGCACGAGACCGTTCAAACCTGAAATACAAATGCAAACTTGATCAAAGGCAAATAGAGGATGGGAGGAGGAAATGAGAGAGAACACAGCAGCATGAGCTCACCTCAAGCTCGCCAGAATGAAGGGGTAGAGAAGAGAGGGAGGAAAAGGAGGTGGGCCGCGGCCTTTATATGGGCATGTCGCGCTAGCCCGCCTGGCGTGACAGGTGGGGCCCACACTCCGTCACGCCAGGTACGGTCAACGCGGGGTGCCACGGTGGCTGGGCTTGTCGCGCCAACGCATGTGGCGCGCCAGCGTGGTATTGTCGCGCCTGGCGCGACCAAAAGGGTCACTTTTACAAATACTTTTTTTTAGATTAGTATTAAAATATTTATTTAAAAAGGATTAAAAAAATTCCCAGGTTTTTTTGCAATTTGCATCGAGCATAGTATGGCGATATGCATGCACACGCGGGCCCAATATCTATTCTCTGCGCTTTCTCGTGTAGTACTAGCAGGAAAATCGCAGGGTGTCCTGTACAATTGGGCTAAATAAAGCCCATCTAATCTATGGAGAGGCTTTTCCTTCTGCCCATCCTGACAGTCCATATTGTTTAGCTAGCAGCTGCTGACTGCCCCTCCAGTTCCTCCCCTCCCTCTCTTCCCTCTAAAAGCCTGAAATTCTGCATGCCTCGTGTGGAAGATCAAAACATGGACGGCCGCTAAGCGAGACTATGAAAAGACCTGAGTGAGCGTTGCCAGTTGCCAGCGTGACCATGCTGCGCTGCTCCCTGCGAACGAAACGGCGACGGGCGGGCGGCATGACGACTGCGCCCGCGCATAATTGAACGCTTTATGCGCCCGTCGCTCGCCCATCCGAAAATTTCCTGTGGAATCCCTGTGGTCTCTGGCCTGGTCCGCGCCATCTCGGGCTGTCCGGAGGCCGGAGCGGACTGCGGCTTGCTGCAAATACTCCCGACCTGCAGATGGCTCCTTAACCTGCTACAGCAGCCGCAGCAGAACACAAACCAACAGTGGCATCAATTGTTTTTCTCCATGTCGCCATGATCCATGTGAAGAGAAGATCGATGGATGGATTGATCAGAGGACGCAATCACGCAAGCGTAGCGAGAAGGCAACAGGAGGTGAAATGAAAAGTCCTGCTGTGGAATGACAATACAGGTGTCAGGCTGCGGCGATAAGGATACCTACTGTGGCTAAATACACACAATATACACCTCGACAAGACCGGACATCCGCTTACGCTGGGACCCACGCTGCACCCCACGTCTAAACCCATGCCACCGTTGGAGACCAGGGAGCTAGCCCTCGCGCCGGCGGACAGCCTCCAGGCTGCCTTTTGGGCGTCTTTGATACGTGGCCAGCCGGCCTGGCCGAGGTTGTGGGCTGCAAGTGTGCGTGTTTGATATCACGGACCTACCAACGAATCCGGCCAGCACGGTGCAAAATCCCCTCCCCAGTTGGCTCCCGAAAACAAAATTATAGTTCGTTTCTCCCCAACGCGGCTGTCTCCGTCTCCACGCAGGAGATTCAGGGACGATTTCGGGCGGCGGCGGAAACCTCCATGTGCTCCCCACACCAGCGAAATCCGTCTAGCTATATAAGCGACGCCTCTCGCAACTGTGCTTTCCTTCCTTTCTTTCCCCTTCGTTTCCCATTGCAAGAGCGACCGACGGTGTTGGCGACGTGGTGTCTGTCACGGTAGTGTCCTTCCATGGAGGGCTTCGTCTCCGTTTGCATCCTCGGATCTGCTTGGACGCGGCGACGCTCCATCTCCCACCGAACTCCGTGGAGGCGGTCTTCTTCTGTCAGAATAAACTACTGTTTTTTTTGTGTGAACATAGCAATGGAAGGCAACGTCGAAAAGGTCATCTACTGTGATATTATAGCCGCTGCATGTGCAGACGCCGCACGGCTCCCTGCAGCGATGTAGCCACATGCAGAGACCGGCACAGAGTCAGCCCTGTATATTATCTAGTCACTGTTAAAGCAGGGCAGCTGTACTTGGACTAGATGGATAGAGTTGTATAAATAGATTACCACGACAACTCAGTAAAGAGAGTTCAGATTTGCCATCTCCTATACAGGGCTTCGGTCAACGCTGGTGTCTTGTACTCTGTGTATGCTCTGTTCTCCCTCTTCTTTAACCTCTAGTCATAGTGCGTTGAGGACGGACAACGCGTGTTCGTGGTCGGCTTAGATAGTGGGTGCTCGGCAACACTAGTAGGTGCTCAGCAAGACTGGTGAGTGGTTCACTCACCTGAGCCGGTGATCCTGTGGGGTAATAAGTGGTATCAGAGCCGTACAAGCGTCGTCGCCAGACTAACCGTAGGCGATGACGGGCGGTTCAGAAGTCGACGGCAGCAGTGGCACTGCTGTGGCTGCCCAGCCACGACCGGAGGTCGTTGTTCGCACGGTGCGGGAGGTCAGCGGCACCAATTGGCCGACGCTGATTCGCACCAACTATGGAGAGTGGTCGGTGACCATAAAGGTCAAGCTCAGAGCCCGACGGCTCTGGAATGCTGTTGACAAGGGCATCGACAATGAGGAAGATGACATGTCAGCGTTGGAGGCTATCCTCGCTACTGTACCGGCAGAGTACATGGAGCCGTTGGGGGCGAAGAACTCGGCTAAGGATGCGTGGGAGGCTATTGCAGCGATGCGCGTCGGTTCCGACCGCGCAAAGAAGACGACGACCTAGCTTCTGAAGCAGGAGTATGCCAACCTCAAGTTCAAGGATAGTGAAACGGTGGAGGGCTTCTCCCTCCGCCTGCAGACGCTCATCAGCAAGCTAAAAAGCCATGTCGTCACCATCGACAAAGAGAGAGCGGTCTCCAAGTATCTCCACTCCGTGCCGGCAAAGTACATCTAGATCGCTCTCTCTCTCCATAGAGACGATGCTGGACTTGTCCACCCTCACAATTGAGGATGTGACAGGGCGTCTGCGGGCGGTGGACGAGCGCCTGGAGCAGGCGACAGCAACGAAGGACAGCGGCAAACTGCTGCTGACGGAAGAGGAGTGGGCTGCTCGGAGGAGCTCCAGGAAGACAGCCTCCTCCAGCCGTGATGGCGATGGCAAGCGCCGCGGCAAGGCTTCTTCGAAGAAGAAGAAGAAGAAGAAGCAGGTCGACCCCAACGCCTGTCGGCTCTGCGGGAAGATGGGTCATTGGGAACGGGAGTGCCCAAATCGCAAGTAGGAGAAGAAGGCTAAGGCACATCTGGTGTAAGCTAATGATGATAATGAGGCCACTATCCTGATGACGACGTTCTGTGCACTGCACGACGTCGAGGCCGAGGAGAAGGAAGAGACGACGATGGTGGAAGGACCTGGGAATGCCCTGAAGACTGTCAACCTCGACAAACCACGCGCCCAAGTTCACCTCGGACGTGTGGGCGCCGACTAAGAGCAACGGTGGTATATGAACTCAGGTGCCAGCAACCACATGATGGGCTCTAAGGGCGCGACACCATCATCTTTAGGTGCCAGAACTGGGAGCACCGCGCGCTAACGGATGTATATTACATCCCACGGCTACGTTTCAGCATCATTAGTATTGGTCAGCTGGATGAGCGTGGTAGCGAGGTACTGATCAAGGACGGAGTCCTTAGGATCTGGGACTAGGAGCAGCGACTTTTTGCCAAGGTGAAGAGGTCTCTAAACCGATTGTACCTGCTCAACCTGAAGGTAGAGCAATCGGTATGCCTGGCGGCAAGGCACACCGAGGAACCATGGATGTGGCATGCCCGGTTCAGACATCTCAGCTTCGACACGCTTGGTCGGCTAGAGAAGATGGTCCGAGGGCTACCCCACATCAAGCACGGAGGCGAGCTGTGTGATAGCTGCCTGGCCGGGAAGCAGAGGAGGCTACCATTCCCAAAGGCAACCAAGTATCGCGCGAAGGACGCTCTCAAGCTCATCCACGGTGACCTCTACGGGCTGATCGCGCCTGCTACAAACGGTGGTCGGCGGTACTTCCTCCTGCTCGTGGATGATTGCAGTCGCTACATGTGGCTGTAACTCCTGACGAGCAAGGACGAAGCGGCGACGGCGATCAAGAAGTTCAAGATGCGCGTGGAGGCCGAGAGGGGCAAGAAGCTCCGGCTACGTACTACGCGAATCAGGGTGTGGAGTGACACCACACCGCGCCGTACTCGCCACAATAGAATGGCGTGGTGGAGCGACAGAACTAGACGGTGGTCGGCATGGCCCGATCCATGATGAAGGCCAAAGGCATGCCAGCAAGGTTCTCGGGTGAGGTGTGACCACGGCGGTGTTCATCCTCAACCGCTCTTCGACCAAGGCCCTGACGGGCAAGACGTCGTTCGAAGCTTAGTATGGGCGCAAGCCGAGTATGTCCTTCCTCCGGATATTCGGCTGCATCGGCCACGTCAGGAAGACGAAGCCGAACCTCACCAAGCTGGAGGACAGGAGCACACCCATGGTGTTCCTGAGCTACGCGGAGGGTACCAAGGCATACCGGCTCTACGACCCACGCGGAGACAAGGTGCTTGACTCACGT